AACGAAGGGGTACTGGCAGGCCTGCTGAACCATGGGAAATAAAGTAAGTTAAACTCAAATGTTATGTTTATAATTATGCCCTTCTCATTATTATACTTCCTGTTTGGTGAAGCCCCAAGCGGGGATGGGTGGGTGGTATTTGCTAAAGCTAGACCAGGCCCAACTAGGCTAGTCTGAGCTAAGAAAGTAGGCCAAGCCGTCACGGTAAATGTCGCCGTCATAAATAATTGTTTGCTGTCCTAAAAGACAACTCGCTAGCTAAGCCCTTGATGGTTGCTGAGGTCAGTGATTTGCTGTAGATCATCTGTCAAAGTCATGAACTATGAATTTGATTTGTTTTAGTCAAGATTTGATTATAGCCCCTATTGAAAATTGAAACCGTTTAATTATATTTGGATTCGCTAATGGATGCAGTATTCTGCTACCAGCAATGTTTGTCAACGAGAATGAAGGCATTTACGTAGTTCAAAATAAGGAAAAAATGCTGATGGATACTGTAGTGCTTATGTTTTTGTTTTCAGTGAAGAGGAAGAGGAGCAAGGAGAGGATCCTGCCTTGGACAGTTTAAGTGCTGCAATTAGTTACGAGGTAAAATTCTAATATCAAAATATAGATTAAAATTATGATCCCATCAACAAGAAAGTGACTATCCACTAACAAGAGAGTTATTGTAAAAGAGAAGGAAGTTTTTTTCGTCATGTAAAAAAAATATCTTAGAATTAGCATGATTGGAACCTGATCTTTGCTGACACTTCATGTCAAACAACATATTACCCCCTAGCCCTCCCCCCAATTGAAAGTTGAGAACCTTTACCTCTATGCCAGTGTATGTGATCTTATTTAGATTTAAGGCACCTAGTTAGATTTCCTTTATTCATGTCAGATTCATCTTCATCAGCACCACCACCATTATCACCTAAATTTTTATCATAGCCATTGTAATAATTGTCATCATTGTTTTAATTATTCTTTTATTTTCTTTCAGTATGATTTGAGAGAAAAGGGTGAGAGTAGCTCTTATGAACCAGCTACAAAGAAATTAAAGGT